ACTCCGTTGTCGTAATTGTCAGCGAGTCGCTTATTATATTCAAGGTACTTGTGCAACGCCCTGAAGACATTACAAACCTTGTATTTTCTAAATGTATACTAGCAAAGTGCCGTTAAACTCGTCCTAATATAACGCATATGTCGGCAAGGTGACTATTTCATATACGCGCTTTAATATAATAATAATAATAAAATAATTGAAGGACTTCATTCTTGTCTATTATAGGAAAGGTCTTGTAAGAGTTATGTCTTCTTGCCGCATGTAGCCTTTATTCCTGATGACATCTATCTGTTCCTTAGAGTGAGCCCGCTCAGCCAGTTGACTAGGTAGACACCCTAGACTGACTTTGTACATATGTAGCTCTACCAATATCTGTTTTCCTTTGCGTGATTGACCTGCAACGGGTGACAAACTGAAAGTAATATCATTCTCTGAATGGCGGAAGTGTAGTCGCGTTCTCCTATAGTCTAGGCTATTGGACTTTCTGCTATTCGAAAAAGTTACGAAGAGGCATGCAGAAGCGACTGAGAACTCGAATAGGAGCAGTAGCGGGGATCGGATCGTGACGACGAATAGCCACGATAAATTAACTCAGTGGTTTTTTAAATTTCTGATGGCAAACGAAACGATGTTTGCCGTTAACCATGGATAATAAGACATATAGTTTAGTTTTTCCTAAGCGGAAAGCCATTTCTATTCTGTCTGCTAGCTACAAATAGAACGGTATCTTCAATTTAGGAGTAGCCGCGCCAGGCAGTTGTTGCAACGGGCAAGTGTTCATTCACCATTCTTGGTACAGGACAAACGCCAACCAACCTTATCAACCAAAACTAACTTACCAAAGCGCCATACAGCGCGTCATTTTCGGAATAAGCTTACCTGTTATCCAATCTATTCGCTTTAGTCGAGTCCCCTATTTAAATTTAAATTTTCGCCCAAACCGTTATTGCGCGTTTTAATGGGGCTTCTGTAAAATTCGAGGATTTCTGCAAACCACAAGATGCTCAATGCATTTGAAACTTAAATAGCTTACAAGTGTGTCACATTGGCATATACAAATTAAGCGCCGTTTTAGAGAAGGAAATATTGACTGCCAATCGGGTCGTCCAAACCGACCGGCGGATCGAATTCTGAATAAAGCCTAATGATGAGTGATGTGAACAATGGTTTTTAAGGAAAAGCGCGGCCACTGGATATAACAGCTTTAGCAGATGAGAAACTTCATGTTCAACTGTCCGGTTTTCTTAAGATACACTCTTAGAAACAAAATATTCATTTAGGCGCACCATCTTGCAAAGGTTTGTATCATATACACGGGGCATCATCCAAAAAGCTGCTCTAGCGTGTCATAGCTGAAAACGTGTTGCAATACTGAACTTCACAGAATGATCAGTTGTTATTTGCTTTATCTACTGTGACGTACAACAACGATCAATCGCGATGGATCTGCGGTCGATCGATTTTAAAGGAGACAGAGTCTCCTGTTCGTTACAAGCAGGCCGACTGATTTCCAGATCGGTCACTTTCTTGACCGCGATCTAAATCATCATCATATTTGTTTGATACGTGCTAGATGAGCTATTCACTTCAAAACATCAATAGAGTGTAGTGTGGCTAGAGTGAAGGCTACCTTATGGACCCGCTCAAATCATCAGTTTTTTCGCCTAAGGCGGACACGAAGCTAGAGCTGAATTTTCTTGTTTTACCCAGATGTTGAAAGGAGGATCGCGATCGAGAGTTGAAATATACCAGGTATGCGCTAGTATCCTATTGGTCACAGCTGTAGTTGCCGACGTGTCAGCAATCTCCACGTCCCTTGAGTCTATGGAGGCGAAGGAGACCGCTGTGCCGCTGGCAGAACGTCCTCACCCGATTAGTTCGTTATCGCTTATTTCTGGCTTGTACAAGTGCGCGTTATGGTATACGTACGCACGTTCGCCATGATACACTTCGTTTGAGCTCTCTAAACTAAATCGGCCCCTATGCTTTAATATACGAACGATACATAAATAATTTGAGATTCAAGCATATAGGATGCGACAACGATTGACTACGGTTATTAATCTAATCTAATCAATATCGTGTGTACACTATGGCCAAGTCAGTATATTATCTAAAAAGCAAATTGGATCCTAATGTAGAGTGCTTAGCAGAATTTCGAAATAATTCCATGACGGCCGTACTGGCCAAGTTCAAGATATTCTTTTTACTGTGTATGTGAACATGCTGGCCCATGGAGTGACACACTGAACTTTGTAATTACCTGTATGAAGTTGTAGCAATAGCCGTGATTAGTAAACACAATATCCCTTGTACATGTGTTATTATATAAAATTATTCTCCATTGACAGCGTACATTTTCTATAGCAGTATTGAAATTCAATAGCCTGCTAGATAACGTATTGAAATTTATCTGAAATTGACACGACTATTTAGTGCTATCTATTCATGGCTAAAACTACACACTCACTAAGTAATAAACACAGATATTTTTTTATAATACCTTTGTCCGCTTTGCGAATAACTTCCTGTACCTAGCTCTCTTAGAGCCATTCAGACCGATGAACTATGTTTTAATATCTATCGATCTATTTAAAGAAAGCCACTTAATAGAGAGCTAAGTAAACACGCAAATTTATGGAAGTCCGTAGGATAAAGATGGGTCATTCCTTTGTTCATGCCCACACAACGATGAAGCGATCAAAAGTCCTTTTAGGAGAACAAGGATAGTTTGTCTCTTTTTTTTTCTCTCACTTATATTTTGTGTCGTACGCACAGCGGTCGGTAGATCCTGTGTCGCGGGTCGGTCACATCTCGGTCAGAGGACAACTGACTCCAGAGAAACAGCCTCCGTCCAGCTGAATAGAACGTCGCCATCAAAATTACGATATACTAAATAAAATTAAATATACTCCTATATATTCCTTTAAATATACAAATTATTATTCATTTTTTAGAATAGAGAATCCACGAGGGAAGAAACTATAAGCAACACGGGAACGTAGGAATATCCCATATCGTAAGACAATAGAAAAGTGTCATCTGGAAGTGGCGTATAAGATCTGCCATTGTATATGTGTTTTTCGTTATGGTAAGCTATGCTATATGAAGTTATAAATCGACGAAGACCATACTTAAGTGTATGCGGCTTCAGCTGGCCAGATCTGTACATGAAAGTATTAACAGAATAATCAGATCGATCGTACCCTCTTCGCGAGATGCGAAAAAGTGCTTTGTTCAATCGTATTAAAACGCATGTGCTTTCCTGAGGGTTCGCAAACAGGAGGACATCAATTAAAACATAATTATGCTATTTTGTCCTTATTGCATACTTACCTATAAAAAAACATACGGACATACACACGTAGGAATTACGGGTTAGAGGTGCGTCACTCAAGGAACAGTGCCAGCTTTCCAGTGATGGAGATCCCCACATCCAACAAAGTGAAGTACCTGACACTTCTCCCCACCCCAGTTCGTGATCGCGGTCAGAGAATCGCCGACATTGCTCGAGACGCTAACAACTGAGGACGCTGAACATGTCATGCTATTAAGTGCTATGCCATTGTCATATAGACCTGCTGTGATTATAGATGATCGTTAGTCCAATGATGGGATAGGTAAAACAAGGGCTTCAAGCTCTTTGAGATGACAGGTTAATTCGAATTCCAAGTCCCTAAGACACTTCGAGATAGCGCAGTGATAACTTGGTAGTCTCCACTGGCGACCTGAAATCACCTGGCGACTTGAATATCGGGTACACTCCAAACAATAGCAAAATTCATTTATGATGTTTTTCTCGTACTCTGATTATTTACCATCGTAACTGGGTACCTTAAAATGAAATCGGCAAATGCCAAGGGTTACTCATAGAACAGCTGCATAGAGCGGTTCTGTAAATTAGGCCGCTTTGAGTGGCCTGATTTATTTTTTTAAGTTTAAGATAACCCTGACTTGAATTGCCTAGATCGCGGGAACTCATGAAAATTCGGGCTTCTTCGTCAACTAGGAGCCTCCATTTAGCTAAAATGATTACTTTAAGGTCACCAGAACAATCGGATAATACAAACGAATCTGCATTCTGCGGGTTAAAGGAATATTTGCACCTCTACACATCACTTTATATATAGTGTTGTGTATAACCAACAAAAATTACGCGATTCTCGTTATCGGTTATTACGAATATAAGCTTTGGCTCCAACTGAAACTAAATTGCCATTCAGTATCTCGACCATGCAGCAAGAACAAATACGTCCAGCAACAGCAACCCGATTAAGGCCTTTCTGCCTGCAGCTCATTATGGCCTTGGTAACATGCAGCTGGACTCTGTGGAATGCTTTGAATGAATCCAGAGAGAAGAACATAGGGAGCAGAAGACCGGCATTTATGTGACTGAAAGTAGCACTACCAAATGCCAAGCGAAAATGATCACAATGAACTATGTGACTTGGTATTAAAACGGTACATTCAAGTACGTACGTGCAAGCAGTGCATGCTTGTGATAAATGCAGTCTCAGACGCTGAATTGGCTGGCGGATACGCCTGAATTTGAAATAATTAAAAAACAGACAGTCTGTAGTGCATCGATTGAATGAGAACGGTGAAATGGTGCACTAGCAATGTTGTTAATTGTAAAATAGCTTGTCATAATTACTATTAATATGCAGGTACAATCATGATTAAGCCTGCGTAGAATAAAGGATATTGGAGGTGAAGGAAACCTCAGGATAACTGCCTCAAAAAAAAAAGGCATTAAAATGGGAAGAATATATAGTTAGCAGAAAATGTATTTTCAAGCAATGTATCGTATATGGTATACATATGGGATTTGGACTTTGATTGTGAACTATAGCCAAAGATAATACCAAAGTATAACGAGTTAATAGAAGGGATTACATTTATTCAAATTCACATATCGGTGCTCACCAGAAGCCTACTATTGTGTTCTGTATTAACGATAGACTGTTTTTGTTGTGTCCTTGAAATTGTTATTCTTTCAGAGCCACCGATCGCCAGTGGGAGTTGGACTGTCACCAAGTTCATCTGCCGAGGCGCATCGATGTGGCGAGCTCTTCTTATCAAGCCAAGGGGGCGCTGCGGGTCAACCCCAGGCGCCCCAGTGCTGCACTATCTACGGATCAACAGGAAATACAACAAACAGTTCAATCGGTTCCACAGCAACTGGCGTCACCTCCACCCCACAGATGGCTACCGCATTGCTCACAGGTAATCTGTCACAACAAACTTAATTTTAATATGGCGTTGAATATACCGTCAGTGGCTTCCTATATTACAAGTCCTCAGTTCTCTCTGGTACCGCTGTCGAAATGGTTCCGTTATCTCTTATCGAGTAGTCGAACTTGCAGACGTTTTCCTCCAGACACACATCATATAATACAAACACTACCGTTTCAACTAATAACTCGTCTAACGCACGTACGAGCATGCTCGATGCTGAAATAATACTGCTTTTTTATCATGACCACTTGGTCGAGTTCAGAATATCTTGTTGCAGTAGTACCATGCATTGCTAATCTAAACAATTTTGAAAGATGGATGCTGTCCAGGCAAACGTAGGATGTGCGTAGGGTACGTAGGGTGTGCAAATCCGTGCGATATTTACGTACACACGCATAGGTACATCCGCTCGTCTCTACAAAGTAGTCATTTCTACAATCAAATTAGTAGCATTAGTAGTATGTTAACTGACGGAGTTCAGGCCAGGACACCTTAAAACTAGGTTGTCGATCAATTTTACTAGATAAAGTTGACAAAAAGCAGTGGCTGATCAAATTAAGTAAATCAAGCAAGGCTTTAGAAATGTATATATGTACTGCAATTACGTTCGCAGTAGATACGATAATCCTTATCAATTCTAAAAGATAAAAGTGTACCGGGTCAGTATATATTAAAGCGGGCTATTTGCCATCAGCTAAAACCTAGTTGCAACTATGTTACTAGTAGCTCTCCGCGTCGTTGTAATAACTGGGCTCGAGACCTTTTTCGTTTCGTTGTGTTTAAACATTACGAACGACCATAAAAAAGTTGTTGCAGTGTAATAGTTTTCCATGGATTATCTGTAAAAAAATGTGCTGTTTTTAGCCGTATTTAACAAAGGTGGTCGCTTTTTTCGTTGGCAGGTATTTAGCACGATATTAACTCTCTTCATGGAAACCTTCACGCGAAAAAATCAAGCTATACGACGCTCAGCGTCATTCCACCAGAAATATACTTGAGGCCGACGTACATACGTTTTTAAATCCAAATGCGTGTTTCTACCTCCGTAGAACCAAGAAAAAAATGTATGTCACGGGCGCTGTAAAATAGTAAAAACACTAGCTGGCCTCGGTCTTTTTCAATAATATCTAGATTTTGTTATTTATTTAGATATGAAAACTCTGCCTGGTTGTCTCATAGAGCACTGCATCAACGGAATAGCTTGAATACTTGAAGTTCTGAGTAAAACGCTTAGTTTAATAGTTTAGCGTAGACACGCTTTCAGCGGTTGCAGGATCCATCGTAGGCAAAAAATAATAATACTTTGAAGTAAATAAGCCTAGGACACGCTGTTTTGTTCCTGTCTTCCGAAAAATGAGCGGGTTATCAATTATTGATACAATTCATAAACATTAATTTCTTTGCCTCGCTTAAAAAATGCCTTTTTTTTTTCTAGCGTCCTCGATTTTTATAAATGTCTCATAATTCGGAGACCGGTTCGTAAGCGGATTCATTAGAAGTTAAATAACTTGACCCATATAAGTAAGGAGATACCTTTTCTGTGTTGTATAACGTCCTATATAGCTTTAAGGTATTAGAAGAAGTCAAGTTATTCGCTTTACTTGCAGAAATAAAAATACAGCGAAAAATATTATCCTTTTCTACCAGACGAGTAATAGCCGCACCCATTATGATGAGAGCGATTTAGTAGATAGGACAACAGGTCGCACCGAGAGAAAAGGCCCTTTTAGTTCTTATCTTCACTTTGAGAACGACTGCTCACCAGCATTAATGCGTGATTATGATAAATTGCAACTTCATTTGCTAATGCATCGAGCTCTGAACAACCTTCGCGAAGTAACAGGTTGTTTAACCTTATGCTTTCACGTGTATCACGATTTTAAACTTCGGAGTGCCACGAACATTTTTGTAGATAAAGGAAGGGTGCCATAATAATACGCGATATAATCTTTCGTGTTTTACATTCGGTGCTTGAGCTGACCGGTCTTACTTCAGACGGCTGGCTGGCTTCAACCAAAGCAAAATCTATCTACGCTCGGGTTTGAACTCAGGCCATTACGTATTTCTAAGTTTGGCAAGCAAACTTAGGAATTTGGCGGCATTATAGGAACGATCTATAATAATCAATAGAGAATTTAGCGTGTCAACGCTGAGGTAACCCGTAGCTTCGGTATTCGAACACTTTATTTACTTCTGTTAAACAGTCGTTTGCGATATAAAACAGCTCGTGTTTTTCAAAAGGCAATCTTCATTAGTTTATACTTCGGAAGAAATATTGCAGCAACAACTGTTATTATTGATATTACGGTTAGTCATACTTTTTTATGGTCAACTTTTCCATAAGGTCTAAGATTCTGCCATTTTCATTGGATACTATCTAACTTAATTGCTTTTTTTTTTTTATCACCTATTGTTTTGGAGGACTCGTTGTTGATAACATACATAAGCGTTAGGTGAGAAAGGACTCATATTATCGTTCCGTTTAGCTCTGCCGTACTAAGCCGTGAACAGTGATCTTCATTTAGATTCGTCTCAGGCGTTGAGGTAACAAAAATGCCCATAACGTCAAAATCGCCCCGGTGGGGCTTCTGTTCCCAATGCAAAAGCCGCTCCAATTAGAGAGGGACAGCCATTTTTATCCGCTTTGTTTACAATCTAACAACAGACGCCTTGTATTCTTTTTTGTTATCCACATAAATACAGGTGCTCTTGATCAATGACAAGGGTGTCAGTTTAACATTAATAGGTCCACAGGCGTGGTGGGTGGAGCCATGATTATATCAGTAAAATATATCTGCCTGATCAGGTTTGTTAGAGCTACGTTGGAATGAGTTTATAAATAGACACCTAGACAAACACCTATACTAGGATCCTTTGTGTTACATCAGGCAGTCTTTCTCGCTATAAACGTGTTCAAGTATAAACTCCCGTTTTGTTTCTAAGAGTCTCAAATACTGCTGCCGTCGAGCGTAAGTGCCTAAAATTGAGGTAGATTGCCCCCTATAACTCAAAAACGTTCAAAGAATGGTTCGTGTAGTTTGTCAAAATGTCTTGTTATCATAATAAAAATAACAGCTGCACCTATAACAAAAAAAAATACTACAAGGAAATATTTTTTGAACGCTGATGTTTTATTGACGACCGTGAGCTGCCTATTGAATGCTCTCAATATGTTGTCCGAAAAAACACAATGGAGAATACACGTAATATACGTACAGGATAAGTTGTTTGCTCTAGAGCCTAGGCTACGTCCTTCGTAGAGAACCGCTAATAGCGGTAACACCCATGTTCTGTTCACTTAATCCAGCAGCAGTTTAACAGTATAACGGTGTGTTAGGAAGCTAAACAACGTATTATTTAGAGCGGATAGCTTTCGATGACTACAATGGCATCGGCAGTGGTTCGAAACAAAGGCCTATACCAGGTCTACCGGGCTGTGGCTTGCGAGTACAGCATCAGTCCGGTGAAATCCTTTGTGGTGCACTGAAACACAGCCTTCAAGCCACTTTTGCCTGACCGCGCGCACAACATAGCTATGATATCTATTAACGTCATCGTTTAAAAGATTAGTTTCGTGAGTTTCGATTTTATCATTTGGTACTACGGTGCGTTGCGTCTTAGATTACTGTTTGGTTTTCGGGTAACAAGATGAGATCTACGCGAGTATTAGGTTTAAATTTCGAAGTAAATATCAGTCCCTACATGCGGGGACAATTTGTTTTTGTTACACATTCTTGTCGCTTATATTGATTCAACTAGCAAGGGTTCATTATAGAAGTTCTGTGAATTGTTTTACTATGTAGCTGATACACGCTCTCCTAGTAAACTGCGAAGCATTTCCGTTTATCGTTTAGCGTTATGGTCAACGACTGGTTTTGGATGAAATGCCGAGATCAACAAACGTAATGAACAAAGCAGCTTAGGTTTCAACCTTTCCTTTGTTATTACCTTCAGCGCATTATCGGACGTGTGGGTAGCTCGATAGATATGCCCAACCAGATGGGGCATTAGTAAAGCCGACGAAAAGGGTAGACGGACTGAGCGTGTGGGAAAACCTTGTTCGAGACATCGAGGGTTGTTTCCTGGACCGAAAAGCGTTCATCTCGAGCAACAGCGCCCGGTAGGTTCTCACCGGGGCTTCCATTTGATTGTTTATCGCTACCGATTCGAGGTCCAAGTAAATGATTTACTCAGACTACACGCACCACTTGTCTCCGACTCGGATTCGACTGTAATTTCGCGCGCGGTCCCTCCGTTATCAGTGCGCGCCGCTCATTTCGTACAATCCTCTCACAAACCAATAAATTTTCTGCTACTTGCGACCTCTAACAGAAAAACCGGTGAAGGAATTACATGCCTTGCCGTTGAAGTTTATTGTTACATGCAGATGCTGTTATGCTTCTACTATGACTTTGAAAAATCCTTCTATAAGCTGAAAATTAGAAAGCAGATGCCAGTTTCAGGTGACATTTAAAGCTGTAGTAATCAATGAACCGCTGGATAGGTTTTTTCTTATCGCTATTGATTGTGTACCAACACTTTGTTCGATCTAATTGAAGCGTTAATTATCCTTGTTATTGTTAATTTATTGGCCATTACTTCGGCTGTTCACTTATCAAAATTAAAAAACAAAAGCAACGACTGTGGGCGTTACATACTATTTTATTTGTCCCAAAACGTTGCAGTTAGATGGAAGAATGTACCTTCCAGTTAAATTAAACAGCACTGCACAACGAACAGAAAAAAAGAAAACTTCCGACATAAAACTTCGTTTTCGAATTCTAAAAGCTTCGTCCATCGGCCTTAGTTGAACAATCTCTAATCGTAAAGGCCAATTCGGTATGAAGCCAAATTTCGGTGCTTTTCACTGTCTATGACCCACTCAGAAAAGAACTGGCATTATGGCCTGATCTAAATCGTCCTCTCGCGAAATCAGCTGTTAACGGCCTTAAATCTCTGGCGATTATAACCTTCTGGTCCTGAGCGGCTGCCTCTTTAGGTTTTAAAAAAGACTGTCTGCGATGTATTTGTTGCAGTGATATTCTCTTTTTGTGGTTGGTGCTAACACATTACATGTTACTTAAATTAATGTCTGAACTAACGATATTTTGTAAAAGGTAGCTTTTATCATTTCTGAAAACAGGATTAGGGATTATGCGTGTGATACTCCTGCAAACTATTCAATAGAGGATATTGAGGCCCGATTGTAGGATGTGCCTGAAAGCTGTGCATTCGATTTGTAAATTAACAGTAACCAATTCGTCGGATGGCTGAGAGTTTTACCCACAAGAGAACACATTAAAAAGGGCCTGAACATAGCCTTTAGAGAAAATACCACAAAAAGGAGATAACTTTGATTTCACTTCACCTGTAACGACGCTCCGTAGGCCCTCTTTCGAGAGTTGCGTGGCTAAATGTAGCTACAATAAAAGCCGAAGAAGAAGATGCTTACGTAGACAAATTGCTTTTTTTCTTAGCACGTATAAGGGGTAAACGTCTGGTGGAAGGGGGGGGGGGGGGAAGCGCGACCATCTCCGGAAATTCCTCTGGAATCCAAAAGAAAGTTCGAATGCAAGCAGGAAGCCTTGACAGTGTCGTTTATACCTAGCAGATTCTTTCAACACGCGATAATCGTGACGTACTTGCGTACAAACATGTCTATATATGTACATGTTTGTATATATACATATATATATATATATATATATATGAGATATTACTCTCCACATAGTAGTGCGGCATTTTTCTTAATGGGTCTATCTTTCCCGTTTTTCTTTTTACCGAAGAGCGACTTGTTTGATATCACTTTGAGAAATACGTACACGACTGGAGAAGTGATGGCATCCGCATGTAAACAAAGGTTGTTTCCTTAAGCGTCTTCTTGTCAGCCGGAAAGAACCAACGTCTTTAAAAGCATGTCTCACTCTTTTTTTTCGGTATTAAGCGAACGTTACAGTTAACGACCCTTGTTTTGAGCACATTATGTGACACCAATAGATGACTCATCCAAGAGATGGCTACGAACTAGGCCAAGATACTTCGATATGTCGACGACATCTTGCGTTACTGCCTTCTGCACCTAAAGCTTGTTTCAACATTTCGTTGGCTCAATTTGGCATTTTGGCAGTGTTCGAGCAATGAGTGAGCTCATAGTTGAGTAAAGTGTTAGATTTATGCAATATTTTTAGACATTCGTCAATTATAGAAATGTTTTAAAGGATTTTTGTTCTTGGTTAAAAAGTTAACTTAGTTCGACTAATTATTATTCATTAAGCACTGGGCATTGAAATGGGCACTAACTGGAGAGGGTACACTTTTCTACAGGAGGACGTGTATTTTGTAACCGAAACTGCATATTTTTTTGTGTAATCACATACTTCTAAGAAGAGCTTGACTTCGGTTCTATCAACGATTTACTTCGCGTTTTGGAACACTGTTTGAGCGTGCGCGACTTCATCATGATTTTATTAGCTTGGGCGACCGTACGCGATGTTCATACAAGGAAAGCAGGGAATTGCGGATGTGGGCCATGTTTTTTTGAAAGCTATTAGTACATAGCCATTCGTTTCGTTCTAGCTTTAAGACGCATTTCTGCGAACTTCCTTATTTTCCAATAAGGAAGTTTGCATGAAGCCCATTTTAAAATAAAATCAAGCGATTTAACTTTATTACTTCAATCATCGCAAAAAAATGTATATATATATATAATGTTTAATTACCCATTTTATCTAAAATAGTACTGAATTCAATACAAATATGGTAGCAGACCGTAGTACTGTATGCGCGATCAGCGTAACAACAATAAGCTCGTTTGTTGTTTGTTTTCTTACCGCGCGTTATTGCTACCGTTGTTATTGACTGGTTGTTTGTTTTAGGTGGGGGCCGGGTGGCCATGATGGTGGACGGTGGCGCGGGGTGCCAGGCCGCCGTGTCTTGCGTGCGAAAGGCGGCGAGCCCTATTCAGACGGACAGGAGCTCCGCGCTCAGTGGACAGGGTACGGAACAGCAACCACGGCAACCATTACAGCAACAGCAGTATCACCGGCAACAATGGCAACGTGCATCGAATCGACTGCCCAATTCGCGGCAGCTGCCACCCAGAAGTGCATCACCTTTTACGTCTCCCGCCCTGTCACCTACTCCATCATGTGCTTCTGCACCACCTGAACTTGACCCACTTGCATACGTGCCACCAACACAATTGCCACCAACAGCGGCGAAAACAACCCCGGGTCCCCAATCCACCCCGCTCGACGAAACCTCACTACTGCCAGGTGGATCCGCTCAACTACCACTTGCATCCACACAACCGTTGCAACCACCGCAATCATTATTCCTACCACAACAGCTACATTCTGCACAAGAGCCCACAACCGTTGTTAATCCCCTACCCCGAAAAAACCCCCAACGAAGGAAATCAAGCATCTCTACCAATTTTCACGCAAGTTTTACCGTTGTCTATTAACAACACAATCAGTGTTACCACCGGTTCCAGCAACACCACCCATATTTCCCCTTCCGCAACAGCCGTCGAACGATACGATAGTACTAACAGTGGCTAGACTGTCAGTACGGTCAGAACCACCTCTATAACACAAACGACGACTGCAGCCACAACAACGCGGGTGCATGTTACGCATACGTAAAGCCGCCTCAGCTCGGAGGTGTAGAAAGCTACGTACTGCCCTGATTAGGCTGCTATTGTTGCAACACGTTAGTTCAATAGTTAGGCCCCTGTAGTCTTACTAAACCTAATAACGATCACGTAGAACCAAAATCATCACAATAGCCTTCGCTGTTATTATTACGATAATAGTTATAATCGTTATTAGGGTATCTGGTGATGAGCTCTTTGCTTTTAAGGGCCGCATTACTGCCTATCATTCATATTTATTCCTATCTTTATTATAACTGTGTGGGCCTGCCAAATCAGCTTAGTACGTTATTACGTAATCTGATGTTTGTACAACATTTCACAATGTAAGATTAGTGGGAAAGGGCACGGTGCCTATGTTGGCTATACAATCTAAATACATTCCCTACAACTAATTGAATGTCTATCTTTTTTTGCACACTCATTGTGAGGAACAAAAGTGTCAATCCGAGCGAAGCTCTGAGCACTCATCCGCTTCGAGGTCAGTGTGTGCCTTCATCTCACGACATCATGTACCTCTGACTTGCTCAGCGGAGACCTTATGACCAGTACGCGTCTATTCAATTCGCGATTATCAACGGAAAGAACATCTGGTGACGGTATAAATCGTCAACGGACCCTCGGATCGGATTTAACTGGATCTTATTTGGCAGGTTCAGCGTCTGTCCCTATTGAGCCTTTTATCAGGTTGCCCACGCCGGAGGTGAAGAAAAGTAACGGTTGTAGCCATGTTGTTATTGGCCTATTACTTGTCGACAATTATATCTAAAATCACAGTTTTAAGGTATTGCTTACATGCAGCGATCAGTACGGGTGCGTACTTGTTACTAGCCTGCTTGATACACTTTTAATTCAAAATTACTTCCGAAACTTATCTTTTTTATTCCATTGGGCTAGGAACTGCCCACTGCTTCAATATCCTGTCTTCCCTCAGGCGGTCTTTAACGCTAGAAACACCCCCGCGCTAAATTATTAAAGATTACCCTAGGGATGCAAAACGATTGCTGACTGCTACCGTCCTTACGGTAGTAACGTATTTGTCTGCTAGAGAGGTGTGAGCTGGTGTCAATTTGGAGCCAGATGTGGATATACTTCTAGACTGCGTTAATATATAGATGTACTTTTAATCTATACGGGGTAAATGTATCTCGATACGATAGATACAGTCAAAAAGTTCGGCTTAAGTATTGCTGACCAAAGAAAACAACGGAGTATAATTGTATCGTTTTATCCCATAAATTATAACAGTAGAAAATATAATAGTCCGGTAGTCAGCCGGCATACATGGGTCAGAGATTCTTTGCTATGGTTCAGAATTTCACTTAGCAAAAGGCCAAGGATGCCAAGAGTTCTTCGATTGATGCTGATCTGTGAGTATTGGGTACGTTATGACGCGAGTTATAGACGCGAGAATTTCTAAAGTTCTTTGTGGACGAAATGAATTTGAACTCGTGTTTCTTGGCTGGCGTTTGGGTTTGAAATCAAGGATTTGAATAAATCCTTATTACAACTCTTATTACCTGTTATTATGGATATGGCTCGGAAGCTGAAGACTGATCGACGCGCACCTATGCTTTTACCCACGGCCAGCACAGATTCTCTGTAATTATTCACGAGCAGATAAATTCTTTTTATTCTCCTGAATATTTGCTACCAGACAAGGTGACTATTACGTTTCTTAATGACATACTTTTCGCTAGAACTTCCAAGAACATCAATCATGTGGAACGTAATAGGGCAGCCCTTACTGGGAAGAACCTCTAAAGGAAACTTTTATCACTTTCATGGGCAGAATGTTTTAGATACTTCGGTAAACGCTCATCAATGGTCAGTGCTATTTTAATAGAAACAAAAACGGAAAAGAGCTAGCAAAAATGTATCTCGGAAGATATCAAACTTGATTCAGTGGCAATCCAATCAATGTTTACTATTGTTTTTTGTTATTGTTTTAAAGCTTTTTCTCTGCAGTAAATGTTAGATTTATGTGGAAGAAAACGGGAACAGCGCCCTCTGTGCTCGCAGCTAAAACCAGATTTAAGGCTGAGCTGAGGGGCGACAAGTAATAACAGCGAAAATGGTAGCCGCGATAGAACGGTGCGTCAACATTTGTCTTTCTCGTAGCGACTTAGCGCCATATTGGGCGTAGGATGGTATATGGATTTATAGCCGCCAGCACGTAAGGGGTCTGAGGGTGATATACCGCTAACATATCAAATATGCTCATGATTATCGATTTCGATTTCATTAAAGAGGTGAGTATTTTGCGGAACGCGTCAGTTGCGAGGAAAATATCAATTATGTGCGAGGAGTTATTTCGGAACATTATATAAGGCACCCGTTTGTCTTCTATAATAAGTTATATGCATACAAGCCGTCTCCGAGTTTATCTATTCGAGCTCATTTGAGGCCAATATTTACCTCATAGGCTCCTACCGAGGAATTTTTTACGTGATTTCGAAGGCGATGACGCCCGATCGAACATTTGTTAGTTCGCTAGCAGACTACAAGAGATAGACAAGTATTTCGTTCGCTGGAGAAGGGTATAACCCAAATAATATCCGTTTTTAGACCTGGACACACCTAGCGGAGTTCCACGAAATCCTACAAATTTTACCCTTATCTTCATTCGCTCCACTGTAAACAGTCCCAGCTTTTCAACGCGTTTTCGTCTATATTCGGGTGACGTGACCCGACTTGTAACCCCAGTCACTTAATGGTGGTTAAGCCTGACTCGATCTCCAAACACTGGTTCACAGATGACGGGACGTTGTGGTCCCTGAAATGCGTTCCTGTGGTGATGCACACATGAGTCGATGCGATGGTAGAAATCAGACCTAAAGCCGTCGCTGTGAAAAGCTGTGTTAGTCAGTATTTACATGCTAGGATCATTTTATTATGCGTTTATATATTTGGTCGTAGTCCTATTCTGGTAGTAGGCCAATATTGCTACGGTTTTGAATATGATGGGGTTTAATAAGGGCCGACTACCGCTTGATTTTACAGTGTGTCTACAGATGTAAAGGAAATCGTGAACATGGATAAGTACCAAATTTAGTCTCGATAAAATGGGAAATACAAACTGGATATATTCCTCGTCTAAAATGAAAGGAATAATATTAGGTGGAGTGTGTTACTCGACATTGGCTGTTTGAAACAATTACATACAGATAGTCCATTTCGAATCGAGCCTAAGCCATAGATTAGAACTATGGCAATTTAGTAGACTACAGGCAATTAAGTAACGGCTGACTCTGCCTCCGACCGAAAGAAGAACATAAAGTTCGAAAGACAGATCGCTTGTAGTTAACCAAATTTTTTTACTATTTTTATTTTACAACCAAAGATTTACTATTATCCAAATCACGACACCCGTGAATTTCAGGGGAAAAGGGTTATGGTATCATTTGTTAGTAATATCAGTGGACAGATTTCTAACACGTGCGATAAGGCAGATATCTAGAAATATATACAATGTTAATATCAGTAAGTTTTGTTTTTTTTTATTATTTTTCCTTTATAGAACACATCTTCCACAGAGAATCCTCTAATTGAAAGCTGGTAAAAGGCCTATAAATAAGGACTCGACAAACGGTCCAATATTGTATCTCCACCGCTAAGCTTCGTATACTAAGTGGACCCGATGTTCTAGCTATATTGCACATTTCTAAACAAATTCTGTTTGACTACTTGGTATCATCGTCTGGTCTTAATTGGCTACGGGATCCATGATGAACAATAACGGGAATCAGATAGCGGTCTATAAGGGATCGTCTCAAGGGCCTGATTCAATGCAGTTTTTGAGTGAAAATCTTGTAACAGAAGAAACTCTCTGTTGTTCTAAACGATATTCCTGTTTGCTTAACTGGTGGCATAGAGAGCAATGTAATTGGATTGACACTCCCGAACCTGCGACGAAGCAACAATAAAAAAAATGTATATCGGACGTATTCAACAAAAGCAGGAAGTGACTTCAAATTTGTAATGTAATTACTTTGTCAAGAATACCGTATCATCACAAAGATGATCGTAAGGCTGCTATTTAGTGCTGCTATGGTAGACACGATAAAACTACCACACTCAACTCTTTCTAAAGAGATTTTATCTACCAACTCTGCGCGGCCACTGATTTATTAACTAAGAGGGCTTTCACTCACCGCTCGTCGTGTACCGTCCGTCCGTCCGTCCATCCGTCCGTCCGTCCATCCATCCGTCCGTCCGTCCGTCCGTCCGTCCGTCCATCCGTCCGTCCGTCCGTCCGTCCGTCCGTTCGTTCGTTCGTTCAATTCGTTGAAGTTCGAGAACTTCGTGACGAAACGTGTCCACAACTCTCACTATATTATAGCTTCAAAACGCGCCTTGTTCGCAAGAACGGCAAGTCTACAGCCGTCCACAGTTTCCATTCAGCAAAAAGACTCACTTTGCAATGTTATCTTGCGCAAAGCCAAACTGTTACTGTGGTATATTTTCAACGTTCAAAATGATACCTTTGAAAGTTTTTTGAAATAATCGAAGAATGCTCTATGTTATCGTACGCATTTGACAATAGAAACCTCTACCTCCATTTGTTCGATTTCGTTCTTTGAGAAGACAAGAGCTTATGTCCCTGCAAAAATTAATAACAGATGAAATAGCGTTAGGTACAGGATGTATTCTTCAACTCTGTCAAAGCCGCGTGATTGACCTGCTAAACCAATAGAAATCCTTGTTGTTGAACTCTTATAATTCAACATCCGTCGAAACTGTCTGAGTGTGTGCGTGAAGTCCATCCAATTTATGGAACTCGCCTCCTTGATATTTTTCGCCAAGGGTAAACAACAAGTTATCCAAAAGTAAGCGAAGCGCGTATCGGAGATATCGTACTACGTGCCGGCATCGTCTTGCACGGCGGACTGAACACGAATAAAGCTACCTGGATAAATTGGACGACATCCATACCCTTTATAATGTACCGTTATTTTTTCCTACTATAACCGTAGGTTCGTTAAAGCTATCACGAACAAACCGCTCTTACTCTTCGCGAGCCACCTCGCTAATGTTGGCTGAATCTCGACAGCCTTCTGATATAGAAATTACCGCACAAACACATAATAGCCTTTTCTCGACTTTATTAGAGTGAGTGCCTGTTTGTGGCAATTTACAATTAGCCATTTTTTTTGTTTAAAAGAAACGTTCCTCGATATATTCAAGAACAGCCATCGTTATTAGACAGCGTTGTACCGCTCTCATAGTAAAATCAATATTTTAAGCTTATCAACCATGGATCCAAGCAAAAATCCCAACTGATCATGTGCTGGACTGGTGCCAAGTTCACGTTCTTTGTTTGCCTTAAGACTCTTTTGTGCGCTGCTTACGGAAGCCAATATAGCATCGTTTTCTTGCTTTAGCTAATTGCCTCACGCGTGCTCAGCTGCGACCTGCGCCATACCATAGGTTTGCCGCCCTCTTTACGCGTGGGCTGCAACGCGTTGTCCGTGTCCTATCGAAGGACTCAGTGTAATACTTGTACATGCATTGGCCCCCAGTAACAAAATTAAATTCGGCCACTGGGTACCTGCCTGTGGGAGTTTGGCTATGAACTAAATGATTGATTCAACCGATTAACGAGGCAGACTTTCTCCTTTTGCGTTCAGACGGAAACACTTGAAGCTTTCATTCTTTCAAACATTAATTTACTATTAGGTTGCTGTTGAGGAATGGATAGATGTTTTTTTTTTGTTAGAAGTAGCTAACTGTAACTGTCTAAATGCAAGCGGCAGGTCCCGTGCTTAACGTCGGTGGCTTCCTCTGAAGACTCGATTCTCTTTGCATGCATAATAATCACCAAATACTAGGAAGATTTTTTTACTGCAATTGCTTTAAAAATCTACGGAGGTTATATACTTTTCTCGAGCAGCAGCAACACCTTCATCGTGGACTCAATCTATGCTACTCTTAAATTACGTGACTTCAAGGCGTATTGGCATCGAAATAGGGAAAAGCACACATGTTGATTTATTGACAGAATCAAGAATCCACAAAACTGTTACTATCGATACGCTGATCATCGTTTGACTTACCGGACACTAAGATTCATTTTTAGTACACGTCCTAAACCCTATGCATAAAAATAGTCCCTTTCCAATTGCTGCTAATGGTCAATACCGGAACGTTTCTCTCTGCTAAATCACTGGCTTTATTAAAGCTTCGATTCGAAAGCTGCATTGTGATATGGACACAGTCGAAAAATTGGGGATCAGAAGCACGATTCTATGGCTTTGGGTTTTCAATGGATAGTCGTCGTCCAGTGCGATAAATGGGGTGAAGCATCGCTAGTGTTGATCTCAAGGGAACACTTTTCCTTAGCCTGTCGAGTATGTGGTGTATCTGCCCAGAATATCTTTCAAGCATTTCAATAGTCAGTAAACAACACTGATTCCCAAGTTTCACACGCAGTTCCAAGTTTCAGGTAGACGGCTTAGGACGCTGAGAACTGGACACAACAAACAAGTCTACATCTGTATTTATCGTAGTCTTCCCCTGTAAACACGCATGTCTGTTTCGTCAGCCGATTGAAAAATGACGCAGTGTTTATAGGGAGCGTTTTAATAAACTTAACAAGTTTTAAAGCGGAAATGTCGCGTACAATTAGAATCTGTGATTAAGCAAATTCCACGCTCAAGCCATTGCCCTGCCGTTTAATAACTGACGCAACAAATGCCACCGTCCTACCTTAATCTACTATTCATTTTGAAACAATATATACCAGCAACAATGATTTTTCTGAAAGAATAGCTTCTGAAGTATGCCATTTTTACTAGAAACAAAACTTCAGTGCACTAAAATGTTTATAATGACAGTTTGCTCTCCATTAGGGAACTTAATTTCGGCAGAATGACAGCAGGTTGTTTTAGGGAACATGGAAATAAAGCTGGCTCACGGCTTGTTGAGCTTCCTGATCTTTGGTCCTCCGAAATGTTGTCATAGCTTTATGCGTATGCTATGCACGCAGCATAACTATTGATACCGATTACTCTAGCTGCTTTCTTGAATTTTTAAGAATCACCGCCTGAAGTTGCATGGTCTCTACTGCATGCTGAGTTTTCTACATGCATTGCAAAATCCTTTTCCGTTCATTGTAAACATTAATCCCAATTAAAGATCAATGTTGTGGTCAAAATAATTTTTTCAACTTATCTAACTTTGCTATTGGTTATTCATCCAAGACTAGTTTGCATCCGACCTTTGCCAACAAGTCTGATGCACGCATCGATTTCTCCGGCTCGATCGCTCATGTTCAATAAAGCCTCTATTCAAGCAAAATGTTTATGTTTACACATCACTGTAGTCCTTATCTGTAGTCCTCGTTTAAGTATCAAAATCAAGATTCTCTAGCTAGTAAAAATATCATGACGGGCTTTAGAACGTCTTATATTTTGCGGCCGTTATTGTAGCAGACGGTGGCCGAGGACGCGACGAAGTTACCCTGGTCAGCGGCACAGCCCCTCAAGTTGGGGGTGGAGTCACCGCTGGTGGGGCGTCACGCTGGAGCAAGCTTCGCACCACGGTGCAAATCTCGGGCGCAATCAACGTGGGCAGTCAGAGGAGTAAGCCGCCACTTAAACGGGAGGACTCATTCTTGCAGCGATTCTCGACTCGACACATAGGCGAACAGCAGGACGCCGACGGCAGTACGTACCGATAATAACAATGATGTTATGCCAGACATATAGAGGTATTTATTTGCATCTAAACATCGAAAGAAGTTGACAATAATGATGAACATATATAAGTGCGTTCGATGTAATGATGATAACATTACTTTTCCAAGAGTCGTAGTCAAATAGCGTGCGTGACAGACACGTTTCCTCCAAACAGGACGTCAGTTGGCAATAGTCTCGGGGTTACATATATCAAAACCGAAGAGTGTACACAGCATGTATAAACAGGTTCCGGTATTAAACCAGTTAAATTATAATTGAATTTGTTAGCACATAGCTTGATCATGATATGCTAGTGTCGTGTAATGGATTCGCGCCATCTAAACTAAAACTACGATGATCTTTTTGTTTCGCCGAGCTTTCTTTTTTAATTAGAATAATAAAAAAAATCGGTCCTTAGATGCTGAATAAACCCGATCGTCCAACTTCTAATAGCAATAATATACTTTTTTTAACACATCGTGCAGAAAAACGTTCCTCACAATCCTGACCTAGTGTAAACGGTGCCGACACAGCATAGTCAAAGATGTACGTGAACAAACTAAGTGACAGTTCCAATTTTCTAGTGTGCCACTTATGCTACCTTGTTGGCAAGCAGGTCTTGTATGTTGAACCTCTTTTTTCAGGCGCTTGACCCAGCTAGCAGGAACTTTAAAAGACCATAGAGCCCTCCGTAACGATCGTTTATAAGGGAATCTATACTTCTACGTTGCTAGTTCAACTGTAATGAGCAACCATAAGTGTTCACCCTAGAAAAGTTCATTAAATCTAAAATTAGATTAAAGTTTTTTTTCATGATGCGTTCATGTGCACCAAAGAAATATCAAAGGAGTTAACATGTTTATTTAGACACTATCTAAACTAACTTTAGCATGCGCAAGGGTTGCTTCTATTTATGCGAGGTTGTTGTCTTCCATGAACCGTAATCGCCTGGAATGGAGATAAGACTTCGCAACTGCAAAGGCCACTTGAAGACCTACTTCAATCGAAACCATAGGAGCTCTAATGCACTCCACGTGCCGATGTCCGCGTTAGCGCACTGGTAAGGTGTTTACCTACTGAACATAAGGGCAAGTGGTGATCTTCGTTCGAACCGAGTCGCAGACACGCTCTATTTTATGCCAGTTATCTAAGACGATGTTTAGCGCTAACAGCGGACTTTTGTCTAAAGGATCAGCATGCAAAAATGTGTGCCTTGTAAGAAATTGTACCGTTTAGATTAACCCGCTTACTCATGTAGATTCGCATTAACGCAACGATATTCGGTATATAGCGTCGCTAGAAGAAAATCTGAAGGTAAAGAAGGTCACCTGCGCGTCTTGAATGTACGACCACTGCGCAACAGCTACCGAATTCCATAAGCCAAACTTCGCTCCAATTGAGCCTTTTAGCGTTGAATTTACGTGATCAGGCATGTGACGATCCGACCAAAATGGAGTCAGTAAGTTGCGAATTTGACAAATTTTGCATATATTTCCAATTACAGTAAAATACTGGGGGAATATTGCCTACAAGTGCTTTTATGCTTGTATATTAGTTTGGGCAAGCCTATCTTTATGGAGCGGTTGTACGCGTGCGTTACCTTCGCTATGGACTATACTATAGAACGATGTTCGCAAAGCGGACCTTACCATCACGGTCAGAAGGACTGGGGTCGAAGTCGCCGTGATAATGTGCTCCGGCCTCGTCTATTCCTCATTCATTGCGAAACCAATTCGTCAAAAGGGGTTGACGCGTGTTTTCGACCTAACTTAACCATGAGTCAGATCAGAAGGAACCATTCCAGAAAATCTTAGGAAAAGAAGACTAGATCGACATAGACTTCACTTGTTACCATTAGGCCTCCAAAAGGAGTTTGTCTTTGTCTAGCACCTTCGTATTTATATAAGGTCAAAAAAAACCAGCAGAGCGATCGACAAACCCTAATCATATGTAGAATTGCCTTCCGTCTCAGATATATATCAAACTAGAAATTTTTGAGCTTTACTGGTATTTGGGCAATAGCAAACAATATGTCAACAAATAACAGCGTATGATACAGTTTTTCATAGATACAAAAAGATATTATACCGTCGAGCGAATTTAGACGCACCTGTAATATATCAGTCGAAATTATTATAATGAAATACAACAATTACTATTTAGAGAAAAATAACTCAGTTTTTTATAATTGCGTTTCAGTTGTGTGCGCAGGGCCCTCTGAGAGAAATTTTTTGAGAACTTTTTGCACATGGGGCCTTGCAGGCAGCACAGTACCATCTATAAGGAATTAAGGTTCAAAAATTGTAGGCTTGAACTGAGGCCGCGGCTAAACCATTTTGTTTTATTTGGACTAGAATCTATATTGTTGCTAGCATATTTACAGCAGGAGCTTAATAATTGAATTAAACAATGTACGAGGAATATGAGGGTAAAATTAGTGTGTGATTATTATTTTTATTATAATCGTCTTTAAACGAAACATTAGACGAGCTGACGTACGTAAGGCTCTGCATTTACTCATCTTGATTTAAACGCTTGCGACATTTAGTGCTTCGTAGCTAATTTTGATCTGGTCGACTCGGGTGGTACAAAGTGGTGTTGAACACAATGATCAGGAACAACCTTGGCCTGATTCTCTATGTTCACGCTGTAAATATTGCGTCCTTTTTATACAAATCCTATATATATACTCTCTCCTAAAAAAATGTTATTTTCATTAGGGATTTACGTTTAGGGTTATTATCGTTATTACCAATAATATCAATAAAAATACTTGCTGGAGCAGCTATTTCGAGTACACCGATTTTGTTTAGCGACCTTTTTTCCCCTCACCATGTTAACCCATTTTCCCATCATAAGCTTCTTAATGGCACACACGATACATTTCTATTCTGAACATATAACACAGTAAATGCTTGATACAATTACATCATTAATCAGGCCAGTTGCATCTGCTATATTGGGTCAGTATCTACGATTATTTGCCGATTATTGCCGATATGTTAACCTGATCTTCTCTATTGCGTTGCAATGAATCAGTTTCATTGTTCACGATTGAATTGTACGCCTAGCCCCCTCACCAGCCTAGGTTCCGATCAGCCAAAAAATTCACTAACCTAGTTCTTCGGGAGTCCCAGTTTCTCTTCCTCCGCTAACCTCACTGCGACTATTGTAACATGGTTTGCTTCACGAAATTGTTAGAAGGTCATTGACGTTTCGCCTTTCATCAAAGTAAGAAGCACGTGCCGTACTCTAACACAAAAAACAGCAGCTATTTTCAACTCGGCCAGTGGAGGCTAAATGAGGCCAGTGCAGAATAAAGTGCATCTTTTCCTCATCCTTTTCAAGGCTTGGCCTGGTAGCAGTAGGCCCGCACAATGTTGCTGAAGAGCTCCCTCGATACCGCAACAACGATTTGCAATCAGGAAAGCTCTGCTGTGGCATTGCTCACCGCTCCACCTACCAACCGCCTACGCCTGGCTCACTTATGCTTCCTTTGTAAACGGCGGCGGAGGGTTATCTGCTTTCTCAAATGACCCCATCTAGCCTCGTTCCGCTTCTGTAGCAATGCTTTTGATCGAAGCTAACGTGAGGGCTGAGCTTTCTTCACCCATTTGAATTGAAAGTGGCGGAAAAGATGCATTGACATATACCTCCTGCTACACAGTAAGGACTGAAGTGTACTAAAATGAGCCGAATCGAATTCGGTAGGTGCATTTTATCACGATAGAATGTCTAAGTTGGGCATATGACTTACGTGACCGTACCTACATAGGTCTTATGGCAGATGTTTTTCGTGTTTTACGCCTGGAACTTACTTCGGGCGGTTGGCTTCCAACATAAAACAAAGTGTGTTTACACCCAGATTCGAACCTAGACCATTACATTTCCCTAAGTTCAGTATGCAAGCACGTTACTCACTGTGCTATCGCACAGACCTAATTTTATGGAAGGTACAAACTAAAAAAAAAAAAAGCAATAAGTACGTGGCTCCCATAAGCCAATACCCTTCGCAATACGTATCACAATTATGGTTTCGTCAGAGAACAAGTTCGTCATTCATTCTGTAAACCTATGCCAAAATTACACTTCAAAAAACATTTAAAAGCGAATCTTATAGGATACCCAGATAAGTTTTCTTGTTACCTTAATTTAGGTCTATTAGGGTCTCGGATCTATTTTGGGGTAAATCAAGTTTTTAAGTAAAACCATTTTCTTGAATATAATGGTATTATATACTATTATATATTATTATATAACAATATAATGGTATTAATTGAACGAGAAAAAGTTACGATGAGCTAATGCCTTCATAGGCGTTTGAATAATGATCCAGCACTGCACCTCTGTAACGGCATGCGTATAGTTTCGACTCGAAGGAATTTTTTTTCCTTAGAAATTAGACATTTTGAAAGTCGTGGAATTACTACGATCTACTAGCTATTATCGCTAGATTATTGTTTTGACAATAATCGAGAAAAATCAGATGTGAAATGATAGGCCAATTCTCACCGATAGCCCGTCCATCTGTATGGTGGTTGAAGGGACCCCTTTTTCCAATTTGATTGATAGCCATCGATAATAAAGAGTCTATATCTAAACTAAAATAGCGTAAAAAAGAGCTAGCTTCGCTGAGTGAGCACTTATAGCTTAATACTGTTATCACCTCGCGTTTCGCTGCATTCTCGTGAAGTAAACTGAGAGGAGATATTATCGTTGAAGCCAAATCACAGTTTTCCTCTCTTCACCACCGTAATCATCGGCATAATATTTACCCGGTCTATGGAAAAGAAAGCCTTATTAGGTCGATACTTTTGGTATATGACCAGCTTGTGTCCAGTGAACATTGCCCAACTCTCGCACATTCTAATTGGATCTATCAGAACCACCAACATATTAAAAGTAGTATAAGTAAACTGTCTGAAAGCGAGTTTCAACCTGCAGCTTCCCAGTTGTAAGAATAAACCATTCGAATGGGGTCTCCCATTTCCTGTCGGCCGATTAAGGCCATCATCGTACATGTCGGTAACATTGAGTTTTGTGTCCTTAAACCGCGTTTAGCATTGCTTCGGGCAGGTCGCTTGTTTACCTATAACGTTGCTACATTACGTGAGCATTACTGACAATGTTTCTGCCTGCGTTATGTTTGTCCCTTTCAGATCCGGTGTCGGAGGGTACGGTACCCACGAAGCGTACCCGGCTGCTCTCTCAAGCCACCTGCTCGCAGCTGTTATTTGGCGTCATCAATCCCGACGAGAACGCGCTCTTCCTCTGGCTTTGGGTGCTTACCATCTGCGTCCTATACAACGCGTGGGCCCTTATTCTAAGACAGACATTCACCGAGGTGAGACGATCTGGCGAAAAATAGCTTCATTGAAAGATTAACAGAAATCCGTCATCAAATTGATTCACTGTAGGGTTTCATTCATTATGCTATATCGCTGTCTGCCTATGTAGTATTTGTAGTTGGTTTTTATTTGTGTATATTTTACGGCGTGCGGTTTAGCTTATGAAAGCACAGGAATCAATGAGCTGGATTATGACCCATACATGTACAGGAAGAACAGGATGACATGAAAGCGAAGATAGATTTCATAAACTTTTTCGCCGACCTACTGAAGTCGTTAACGGTAAACAAGAGACGCTCTTAATAGAAGCAGTCATGGAAGATTAGCCAATCATGTGGTTCCCTCCATTACTAACGACCTGCCTCTATTTTTCGACCGAATGTTTAGATATGTTCCGTCAAAATTCTACACACATAGTTACAAGGAAGTTATCGAACCTTCGCACAAACACTTGGCCGTGTATCTGATTCAAGTAGAAGTGAAAAGGGTGAGAGTCCGCTAGCGAAACATTTAAGGAACAGGCACAACGAAAAACCACTCATTTCAATTTTCATTATACCTTCAGTTTTCGTCGTTTTGTTGCAGCATTAGCGTCGCGAAAGGGAACGACTAGATTTTACACGATTGGATCCTTTTTCATCGCACAGATCATGGCTTTCTTCGAATGGAAATTGTCCTTGAGCACGGGCCAAGCTTTGCCACTTGAAGGTCCCAAAGATCTTTAATGCTTTATGTTGACACAGAAAATCTCGTTTTCTGGGATGAATCATCACTCTACTTTAGCGACAAATATAATGACAAATTCTATGGTCATTATTTAAGCTTTAACATTGAATATAATAGGTTGTTTTGTTTACCTTCGTTAAGTAAAGATAATAAGGAATAGTGCCTTAACTATATATAGCCCACCTCTACGACTGAATCGACCGCCGTGCGCTTGATCTTCGTTGAAGTTGGACGGCCCAGTGAAGCGAAACGTACAGTCTTCACCCAAACAGCTACTACAGTTTTTACAAACCTTTTATCAAGAGTTCAATCAGCGTATGTAAATGGGTCGTTATCGAGATACACATGTATTACGAACTTCACTAAACGAGACGTTCAAATCCTGACTTGCAAATTAGGAGGATGTTATCAACACGTTTTTACGTAAGTAACAGAAGAAATGGTCGCGTGTTTTTCATTGGGCGTAAGCGATTTCGAATAGAATTTGAATCGTTCTGGGGAGCAGTAGCCTATTCAGTCAGAGATGAGCGAGCGCATCCGACATTTTATCCCGATACTTGTGGCTTATTCTAATTTATTTTGGCATAATTACAAGTAGCTAGCGACATAGCGCATACACTAATCTTTCATCGTATAGTTAGGCGGGTTAGTTGAAGTCTTTATTTCGAAAGTTACCCTCTACCAGTGGAACCACACTTACGTTTATGCAATTGGCACAGCAAGATGTATTAAATAAGAAAGAAATAATGAGACAAACATACTTTTTTCGTCCAGTTTGTATCAATCAAAATCGCTCTTGCCACATTTAAATTAAAGTCATCGAACGTCTGCTCAGCCATCGACGCGGCAAAGTCTGCGCCGTTTATTATTCACGAAGTGCTAGCAAAAAGAACGAACCCGCCTTCAAAGGTACTTAATATCGCTGTTGCAATGTATCTACGTATATACTTAATAGTCTTCAGGCTCGCGTACTGAACGGAAGGAGGTTTTGAGCTAAAGTAAAATGATGATTCAACAGCGACACTTGTAGAGATCTAACATAATTTAGAAGCTTCAGAAAAAGGTAGCTTATAGGCAAAACATTAACAAAGAAACAAAACATCACGCCATCATAAACGAGCGCCATTTTACCAGGTCAGGTCCAAGACTAGTCTGGCTTATTTTTAATTGACATTCAATGTATATCTAGCGTAGTTGGCTGCAGGTGCTCATCAGCTCAACCCACATTCTCCAACCCCTATGTAAACTATGTCGTTCACTCTGTGTTAGGCTCTTGGAACTTCGTTTACCCGACTCTAGTCATATTCTTAGTTAAACTTATTAAGAAAATACGTATGTATATGTAAAATAAGCACAAGTTAACCAACCCGTATACCCTTTCTATTCGAGCAGGCTTAACCTTTTTTGCATGACTATGATCGGTCCCGTTTTTACTAGATATCTATTCGTGTTATGTTCATCTCACGTCAAAGACTGAAAGTACACGTCCCGTTAGTTAAATGTATGTTATATTTCAATGAGTGTCATCAGCATATCATCCTTTAGACGGCAACATATCGATTGTATATATGTAATGTATCATGTTAATTTCCATTACTTTGTATATTAAATCGATTGATTAATGCCACACGGAAGATATTCAGTAACTGATAGAATTGGATCTACTTTTATACGGACCCTTAGAGCTACCCCGTTTTCACTTGCACCAAATGCATCTCAACTTAAGTAACTTTCTTACAACTTTTGAGAACATGGGTTACATCATGCTTTGCACAAGAAGTGAGCCCCTGGGTATATTGATTTGATTTAATGTACTTGCAGTGAGACCCCCTGGCACATCGTAGACGGTGGACCCCACATCACCTCTTAATTACGTTAGCGGAGTCTCGGAGAAAAGAATTTCCGATTCCGTTTCTCTAAAAAGGCTTTTTCCTTTGTTATAGCCACTCGTTTCTGCTAATAGCTTTAGGCCGCGATTGCCATTAGGATGATATGGGTCGGATCCTAACGGTACTGAAATCAACGTCAAGCAATTCTACGCCAGTCTCCTTTCCTCAGACTTTCACCTATATGTGAGGGTAGTAGTCACTGATGATAAACATTTTATTTTCAATGCATACTGAGCTCGTGGCAATTTCGCGAAAGCTTAGAGCACTTCAGAGTTGATCGAACAGCAGAGGCGTTGTTACTCAATGGAGAGCGTCCAGAACGACGTTGGAGTCACTGAGCAACACAATGTCATTAGTTCTCTGGTCGTTGACTAGGAACAGCATAAATTTACGAGTCGCAATTATCGTCGAATGATTGCTCTGCCGCCTTTGAAGCCTTATCAATGGTCGTTTCACTGGTGGATCTCGAATACTGGCTACAATTGATGTTTTATGGCGGTCAGATACACAGGTCTCTCGGGCCTCTGGATACTGTTACTGAATTCCCTTGTTCTTCTCAAAGTGCATTTGTAAGTGAAGGCCCGCGCTCTAACTTTTAGCTACGGCTTTTCGGCAGTCTTAGCATAGGGCACTCCAAGAAAGAGTGGCACTGAAGTTCTACAGGGCGCAGTCCACTCTTGGCGAGTACAGCCCACAGGTTCCTTATTTGAAGCACACTTAAGCTAGCTCCACCACATATTGCATTTCTTGAGTCGACTACATATATGGCTGTTTAATAAATTATTTACAAAACGATGTACGACGAACACCTTCTACCTATACCCTATTTTAGCAGACCACAGAATGATTACAGCCATTATGCGGGCCTTTGAGTGAACATTGAATCAGATAATGTGTGTATCTTTTCAGTGATTTCCACTAACTTTCCTAATATCATATGCTACAAAAACGTTTCAATATGTAAACATTTCACAAGTACCCGATACTGGATTCTTCCGACTACAACAATCATACGGTAGACATGATCATAGGCACGTACTATTCCTCCCAAGTTAATGATTTCGTGGCTAAACGAAGCATCACTTTGTCAGTGAGATCTTTCATCCGAAAATAACAAAAGAATATGGAAGAAGCGTCATGAGAGGCCAAACGCTATTTTGATGTTGACGCCTTACATTTACACATTGTCATTCTGCAGCGAAGCCGTCAGTGTGGAATAACCGAAGAGAGGTCAAGTTTTTAGGCCTCATTATATCAGTTGTCCTATATGACCGTCTTTCTTCCAACTGTCTAATTAATTCGACTCATAGAAGCTAACAGAATATGTGCGTCGAAAAACGTAACAGCCAACACTAATAGCCTTTGTTTATCATAATAGGGCAATAGATAGGCGGTATCATAATAGAACATGAAAAGTTGTGATCGCCACCATTTAGCAGTGCATGACTCTCAACTTGTCGAGCACATTTACGTGTGACATACTCAGACCAAATAATTTGATTCGCTCTAATTAGATTATGCCCTTCCCATCTATAGTTAGCTGTCTATTTGTCCTATTCCCGACCGTAATGTTTTTCCTATTTCTACTTTGGCCTAGCCATCTTTCTTTCTTTCATCCAATCTCGTTAGCCGTTTCTTGTTCGAGTCGAGCTTTTGCTGTTCATGCCGTCGATATGAAACGGTCGCGGCACTTCCTTGATCCACCGTAGCCCCTCTGCATCAAATAATCGTGCAAGAGTTGCCCTGTCCAACTCGATGCGCCCCTCTGATTGGTCGTCAGACAGCCTTGCTTCCTCAAAGTTCATAGTTCTAGTAGCAGTTGAGTACGCGGCTTGTTGAACTAGCCATTGTGAACGAACCATAAGCATCGAAAACGCTGCCGCACCACATGGACGGCGCACATACACACGCGGACGATAACATGGTCTTGATGAATGTGGCCTCGTTAGGATGAAACGCAAATGTGAAAATAGGTACAGACCTCAAGGGAGAGAGAATGTATGGTTGGACAAAGATTACTCGTTGCTGCCTAATGAATGGGTGAATGCATTAAGTAGTAGCTAGTTTGGCTGTTTAGGTCGAAAGGTCGCTGGGGGTGCTGCCAATGCATACGACCCAACGAGCGATAAATGACGGGCGAAGCCTTAGATGTTCCCAGAACGTGGGCCGGATTCCGGCTACAATGGCAGTAGATGGTGGAATAATGATTCGTCGATTTGAATTTGCCTACGCGTCTATTGTAACATTTACACGGACCACGCGTGGGTCAGCTGTTGCTTATTGGCTGATACAACATGAGGCTACCGATAGAAGATACGTGTTCGAATGTTATACAATTAAGAGGCCCCTAGACCATAAGGATGTTTTTCGTTTAAATAATA